TCACCCTCAGTAAAGGACGGCGGTGCCCCTCCGCAAGGGGCCCGTCAAAGATGTTTCAGGGGCCCCCCTCAATCAGGAACACCGCGCCCCCCAACCCCCCTAGGGGGCCCGTCAGATACGGCCCAGCCCCGCCCCCTCCCCCCCCCACCCTCAGCCAGGGGCGTTTCGCCCCTCAGCGGGACTCGTCTGGCCCCCATGCAGCGAGGGGGGGTGCACTGCAAGCGACCTTGAGAGAGATTCTCTTAAGAGAATTCTCTTAAGAGAATTCTCTTAAGAGAATTCTCTTAAGAGAATTGTTGGTTTTGCCTGAGACATCCACACAATTCTCTTAAGAGAATTCTCTTAAGAGAATTCTCTTAAGAGAATTCTCTTAAGAGAATTCTCTTAAGAGAATTCTCCAAAGAGAATTTCCCCTTAAGATAATCGGTTTCGTGATCGCCCGTCCCCTCTGCCAGGGGCAGCCGCGCGCGCCCCTGCAATGAAGGGGCCACAGTCAATCAGAGCCCCCTTAACCCGTACCGCCTCTATTCTGGCGCGAGAGGCCGCGCAAATGTATATGGATGTCGGCGCCGTCGCCGACGCGGTCGCCCCGCGGCTCAGGGCGCGCCGCCCTGGGGCGGATGGGGGTGCAGGAGGAAGATTGACAAGGAGGAAGAGCAGAAGCAAGAGGGATATGGACAAGGAGGAGGGCGGGCGACAAGCAGGAGCAGGAGGAAGAGTGACCAGGAGGATGGAGAAGCGGTCCTAGCCCCTCTTAGAGGTCGCCTTCGGGCGCTTGCCCTTGTCCTTCTCAGTGTCCTTGTCCTTGTCTTTGTCGCCCCTCCCTCCTTTCGAGGGTCTGCCCCCCGCCTGGTCCGCGCGGGGCCTTTTTTTTGCTTTGGGGTCCTTCTTTTTGTTGTCTGCGTTCTCCGCGTCCGCCCTGGCTGCGTCCGCCGTTGCTGCGCCCGTCTCTGGCTGCTCTGGTGTTGCCGCTTCTGGCGCTGCCGTCTCTGCCGCCTGCCGCTCCTCTGCCTCTCGTTTCTGTTTCTGCTCCGCTTCCTCCTTGGCCCGCGCTGCGTCCTCCGCATCCTTGGCAGCCTTGGCCGCCTCTTCCGCCCTCCGCGCGGCCGCTTCGGCAGCCAGCAGCCTCGTCCTCGCCTGCGCTTCGGCGGCCTCTGCTGCCCTCTGCAGCTCCAGGCGGGCCTCTGCCTCCCGCCTCAGCGCGGCGTCCCTCTGCTGTTGTTGCGCCCGCCTCAGGCGGATGATCTCCTGCTCTGCCCTGCGCTCCTGCTCCTGCCGAAGGCGCTCTTTGTGCCTTTCGACGCACCTCTGCGCCGCCTCCGTGCGATTCAATGCCCGCAAGAGCCTCCGATGCTGCCTTGCGTGCTCTTCCTCTAGCCTCATCAGCTCATCAGGCTCCTCTGACTCCGCTTCCTCCTCCATGCCCTCTTCCTCCTCGCCCTCATCCTCCTCTTCTTCCTCCCCCTCTCGGGCTCCGTCGTCGGATCCGTCAACCTGCATTGCTTCGGCAGGTGCTGCCGCTGCTGCTGCTGCTGCTGCGGGCGGTGCTGCTGCTGCTGCTGCTGCTGCGGGGTGTCCAGCCGCTGCTGCTGCTAACAGTGCTGCGGGTGGCGGGCCGATCGGCGGCGTTGGCCCCCCCTGCGGGGGCGGCGGCTGCGCTGCTGTTTCGTTCTGCTGCTCCTGTCGGGGAACGACGAAGTAAGCTCACCCCCATGAGAGGGGCCTCTTCTTGCGTTTATTCGGCCCCCCCTCGTTTATCCCCTCAAACAGGGGCCCTCCCTTCTTGGCAGCGCGGGGCAGAGGGGGGGGGTGCGGTCCTGCAGCAGGCCGACCAAGACCGCCTCCCTGGTATCGCACCTCCGCTGCCAGTGCCTGGCAGGCGCAGAAAACTGACCAGGATAAACATTGAGAAAATCAAAACATCAAACCGACATAACTTCATTCCTCAATGTTTGAGGGTTCCCCCCTCCCCACCACTTGCACCCTTGCGTTGCCTGGCTCTGGCGACCTCGCTCTTGCCGCCCCTCCACCTCCTCCCGTTGCGGTCGCGGTCGCCGTGCTCGTGGAACCACTGGGTCGCGTGGTGTTCCTGGCACGTCTTGCCAACGCACACCGAGAAGAAGGTGTGTTTGCCGCACTGCCAACACTTCTTGCAGTTCATCTTGCGAAGCCACAAGCGGTGGGACGAGCGGGTGTACCGCTTCCTGTGGTCCTGGAAGTCCAGCATGAATTCCTCCTCCGCCTCGCTGTCGTCGTCGTCGACCTCAAAGACAGGCGCGTGCCCGTCCTGCAGGGTGTCTCTGTAAATCAATCCCTTCAGGAAGGGTCACGGGTCTCTGTGAATGAATCCCCTCAGGAAGGGGAGGTTCTATCGATAAATCCCCTCTGGCAGGGGTCTCTGTAAACGGATCCCCTTCTCTGTAAACGGATCCCCTCAGGAAGGGGCGCCTTAACCACGTGTACCCCCAGCTCCTCGTGAGGCCGCTTGCCGCCGCCACCGCCTACTGGAGGCAGCCCGCCGCCGCAGCCGCCCGACATCATCATGCCGGAAGCCTGGGGTCCAGAACGGTTGCGGCCGAAAGTTCTTAGTCAGACTCAAAAGGCTAAAATCTGGGGGCCTCGTGGGAGGCCCTTCGGGGGGGTGAATGTAATGGAATGTCATAGGAATTCGTCCAATTTTAGACCCCCCTTTTTTTGCTAAAAAAGGTGGGTCTAAAACTCGGCTGCTGGATTGATTTTTTTATCGCCCAGATGGCCAAACAAGTGGCCGTCACTCTTACTTTTCTCCTCATCCTGCCCCAACTCCCCCCTTGCATTCTGCTTCCGCGCGGCCTGGAGCGCCGAGAGGCACACGATGAGCGCCCGCATGGCCGCGAGCTCGGGGCGGGGGGCTGGCCCCCAAGCGCGCTGGGCGTCAGCTCTGTCGAACGGATGCGGATGAAGAGCATGAAAGCAAATGGGGGAGGGATGGAACGAGGAGGAAACGCAATGCCATACACATAATGAGTAAGCAGACTGCCGCACCTTTGATCCCCTCCCCGAGGGGTCCCCTCTCGGAGGGGGCCGTTGCCCTGTCTTATCGCGAGTGTGCTGAAGCCCCTCTTAAGGGGTTCCCCTCTTAAGGGGTTCCATCACTCGCCAATCCATCGCGCGGTCCCCTCACGGAGGGGCGCCCCTGCGATGAGGGGGTGTCGTCTAGCACTGGAGAGGGCGCTCTGCCAACGGGTATGGCGATGGCAATGGCGATGAAGACGGTAAGGATGATGATGATGATGGATGCGATGATGAGGATGGATGCGATTAGTCGCCCAAGCGCTGTGCCACTAAGCGCTCAGCCTCCGCCTTAGCAGCTTCCTTGGTGTCAGCCACGGTGCCGTTGACCAAGGCCTTCTTCAGCTCTGCGCCGATCTCCCTGAGCGTGGCCTCGTCCAAGGTGTCCTTGTACTTTTTCCCGCCGAAACTCACAAACTGGTTCTTCTCACCGTGCGTCCGCTTCAACCCGATAGAGTGGTCCCTCTTGTAGTACATCACGCTGTACCCGCGGTCGGCGTGGCCAGCGGGGGGCCCAGCGCCGACCGAGGGCTCATCTGCAGCATCCACGGGCTCATCGGGTTCCAGCTGCTCTTCCTCCTCCCCCTCATCGTCCTGGTCCGTCTCCGTGTTCGCGGCGGCTGCACTGGGCTTTCTCATTGCAGGCTTCTTTGCCACTACATGTCCTGCTGGCTTCCCTTTTTTGCACGCTTTCGCCTTCGCCTGCGCGGCTGCCGCTCTTGCTGCCAGGAGGGCGTTGGGCTGCTCCGTCTTCTCCGTCCTGCCGTCGGGAAACACGGCATCCAAGAAACCATCGCCTCCTTTCGTCAGTGTTCCCCGCTCCTCCCTGTCTGCGAACTTCATCACCATGCACATCGGCTCGGAGTTGAAATCGAAATACGTGGCCAGGGGATCCTGGGGCGGGTCTCTCACTTGCCCCTCCCGAGCTCCCCTCCCGAAGGGGTTCGGTTACGCCGTGAAAAATCAAAACTGCTCCCCTCCCCCCCCACCCTGCCCGCCCCCTCCGATCCTCCTTCGGGGCCGCGGCGGGCGGGTCAGCGAGCTCGACGTCCTCCTGCGACGAGAACACCACCATCGGGCTCCACGTGGCAACCTTCTGTTTCTTCCCTGCCGGTTTCGGAGGCGGGCTGATGCCGAAGGCGTTCTTGATGACATTGCGCCTGCTGCCCCCATCTGCGCTGGACGACGCGGCGGCCGTGGAAGATTTTGGAGGGTTCATCTCTATGTCGGAGCTGCTGTCGGCGCGTTTTTTGCTCTCTCCTGTGCTTGGGCTTGCCCTGCCAGGCTGCAGCCCCATTGCCACCCCAAGCATTTTTGTGTGCGCCTCCAGCTTCCCCCCCGTCTTGGCGATGTAGAACTTGTTGCAAACATGGCTGAAAGCGTTGGCCACCTCCTGGCAGAAACGCCTACACTCTTCCTGGTGCATGTTCGGCTTCTGCTTCAACACGACGTCCTGGAGGTTATTCCATTTGACGCGTGTGGTGAGCTGCGCAAGCGGCAAGAGAAACGGCATGTTGTTCTTCATGAAGTCATCTATGCCCCCTTGCAGTTGGCATTTTTCGATGAGATCAATGTGCTGTTTCACGAGCGGCTTCAACTGTTCCTCTGTCACAGAAGAAGCCCGTATCTTCACCTCCGTCTTGCCCTTGACCATTGCCCACCCCCAGTGCGCGCAAGCAAGAGTAGCGCTATGTGCCCTCGAGCCTTCGCAGCTGCGGGATGTTGTAACATGCGCGCAATGTGATGCAGCCGATACCCCTCGCTCAGGGGACGCATGCCCCCTCACTCAGGGGATCCTTAACAATGCGCGAGCGAAGAAAAGTACGACCTGGCCAAAAATCATGGGTTGGACTAGTGCGACCCAAGGAAAGTGCCAGGTCGATCTATAGTTCGACCCCGCACTATAGATCGACCTTGGAGTCTCAAGGGAGGTGGAACCGCGGTGGAACCGCGGGCCCCGCAGGCCACCCGCCGGCCCTCCGGCGGCCCGAAGGGGGTGCCCCTCTGGCGGTCTCCCGTGGCCCCCCCCGGCGGGGAGCACTGGCACGGCGGGCGCCCCGGGCCCCATCGGCCTCCGAGCGCCCCCGGCCGACCCCTCCGAGAGCCCCCCGGGCCCCGTCCCCGGGCGACGAGGGCTCCCAGAGATCCGACGTCGTGATTTTTTCAATACGGGGCCCCCGGGGGTCTCGACTCGTTCCCCGGGACCGGTTTTTCATCCTAAGTCGTTTTTTGACGGTCCCGGGGCCCGGCGAGGGCCCCTTGAGGCCGAAACTTGCGAAAAACCTCCGTTTTGATTTTTTCAATACGTTGGATCTCTGGGCTCCCGCCGCGGGTCGGCCCCCGCGGCGGGGCCCGAGCGGGGCCCCCGGAGGCCCATGGGCACGCTGGCAGAGCGGCCGCCGCAGCGGGTTTTGCAGGGGGGCAGCCCTCGGCGGCGAGCCCAGGGGGGGGGGGGCGCGAGAGAGAGAGAGGGCGCGGGCCCACGCCGGAAGGCTCGGAGGTGCCCCGGGCCCTCCGAGAAGCTGCCCCGAGCCTCCCCCGAAGGAGACGCGGCGCGCTCCTCCGGGGGCGCGAGGGGGCTCCCGAGGAGTGCCGCCGCCCTCCGAGGAGGGCCTGCTCCTGCTCACCATTCCCCCCCTCCCCGCTCGCCGCCGAGGGGGGGTCTGGGAAGCTGGCCCTGGTCCCCGAAGGCGGACCCGCTTCCTCCTCCTCCTCCTCCTCCTCCTCCTCCTCCTCCTCCTCTTCCTCATTTTGTTGTTTTATTGTTTGCGTTGGTCAGGCCTTGCGCTTACGCACGTGGCGTTCTTCCTCCTCCTCCTCCTCCTCCTCCTCCTCCTCGCCCTCCGATGGGGATCGGCGGATCAGGATCTCCGAGGGCTGGAACTCGCCCTCGTCGCCCATAGTGGCGCCCGTGCACGCCGCTGCGAGGCCCGGCCGTCCGGCGCCCGCAAAAGGGGGCGCCGGCAGGGGGGGGCGGCCCCGAGCGTAAGACGGCTGCGCGGGGATCTCGCCATCTCGCGGACGCCCATTCCCCGAGCACTTTTCGGTCTCGTGCGTGTTTTCTTTTCCCCCGCGAGATGCTTCGGGATGCTCCTCGAAAAGGTCCTCGCCGAGAGTAGAAGTAGGCGCGCGTCCGCGCGGTGCCGAGCAGGGGGCCACGGGGGAGAAGAGAGGCGATGCTTCCAGGTGCTCCTCGGTGGCCCTCGCCGAGAGAAGATCACACACACACACACACACACACACGTCCGCGCGCTGCCAAGCAGGGGGCACAGGGAGGAAGAACAGAGAGGACGAGAGCAGACGCAGCGCGCGCCCCGGGTGCTGGACTGCGCCCTCCTGCCCCCGGTCCCCTCCCCACAAAGCGGGCACGGCTGCGTCTCGACACCGTGGTGACTCCCGTATGGGCAGGCGTGGCGAGACGTGCGTGCGCACTGAAGTGCTCATCAGCGTCCCTACCGAGACGCGAGCGCATGCTGGAGCAAGACGCATGGTGCATGATGAATCCAGCCGTGCAGCTGGCAGCGTGTTTCAAAGGCATGTGTGTTCCGCGATCGCGCGCCCCGCCGCCCCCCCCCTCCCCGAGGAAGAAAGAACTCCCTGGCCAAGCCCGCGAAGAGCGATTTCTCTTCACGCCCCGCCAGCCCATTCTTCCCCCCCCCCACACAAGTGCACGATAGGAGCACTACTCGCCCTCCCCCCCCCGAAGTGGTCCAGGAGGTCTCCCGCCCCCCTCCACGTGCTGTTTTACACACAGGAATTCACCAATTGTTTTTTGTGGCGCTTTGCAACGTGAGCGTTTTATGTTTTCCGCGATTCGACATTGGGCGGGAAGGGGGAGGGAGGGGGGTCTGGCTCTGGACCTCTGCTGAAAGCGACTGTTTGCAACAGTGCGTCCTATGGGGGAGACTCCACTTGCTCGAAACAGGCGCCAACAACAGCAAAGATCTACTCCATGTAGGGGGGGGGAGGGGGGGGGGCGAGGGCCAGCGCCGATCGGCAAAATAATGAATAAGAAAACGATCGCACTATTGCTTGGGGTGTTTCAAAATGGTGCTCCCGCTGCAGCGTGGGCCTCCTTCTCGGATCGGCGCGTTGCTCCCGTCGTTCAGATCGCTCCAGCGCGGGCCACTTTTCTGGATCCGAATCTTGCTTCATACTGGTCCCCCTCTCGTTTCCTCTTGCTCCGCACAACCCTGGTCCTCTTGTTCTCCCGCTCCTTCCACTCCAGTTCCTGCTGCTGCTGTTCGTCTCGCCCCAGCGCGGGCCACTTTTCTGAATCCAAATATTTCATCGTTGTCGCCCCCCTCATTTCCCCTCCTCCACCTTCCCCTGGTCCTTCTTTTCCTCACGATCCTTCAACTTTAGTTCCTGCTGCTGCTGCTGCTGCTGCTGCTGCTGCTGCTGTTCGTCCTCATGCTTTCCTTCCGATCGTCCTCCTTCTCACCTGCTACCTCATCCTCCTGTGCACGCAGCTCCTCTTTTTCCCGATTGCGCATTCTACGAAGTGGTCGTTCTGTGGGAGTCGCAGGTCGGACATGACACGCGTCAGCGGATATAGAGAAAACTAAGCGCCCATGGAAAGGGATAGGAGGAGGGGATAGGACTTCAGGCGGGGCGCTGGCGCACCTCCGCTTGCCGATGCCCCCTCTGCACCACCCCTCCGCCACCCCTCCTCCCTCATCCCTGTCCTGATCAGCCTCTTGCACCTGCGCCCTGGAGCCCCGTCGGCCTGGGAGGACGAGGACGTGGAAGACAACGACGACGACGACGCAGACGACGCAGACGACAATGACAGCAATGGCGACAACGCAGGCGGTGACGACAACGACGGCGGCGGCGGCGGCGACGACGAGAACGACATGACGACGTCCCCCTCCCTCTCGCTCGTCCCCGTCCTGGTCCCCCTCTCGCTTCCTGCCCCTGCGCCCTGGAGCCCAGTCGGCACCGAGAGAGCGACGACGGCGACGGCGACCACGCCCGTACCGACGACGACGACGACGACGACGACGACGACGACGACGACGACGACGACGACGACGACGACGACGGCGGCTGCGGCAACTGTGACGGCGGTGGCAGCGACGACCGCGACGAGAACGACAACCTCTCCTGGGGCGCAGTCTGGCCAGGGTCCCGAGGCGGATCTCAGCAGGGACCCACCAGGAGGGCGCCACCAGCAGAGAGTCCAAAGAGGGCGGGTATACGCGCCCAGCCGCGTGCACGACGGGCCCCCCGGGTGCCGCGGGCCTGCCCTCACAGCACAGGAAGCTCTAGCGAGGCAGTCTCTCGAGGCCCGTCTGACTTCAAGCACCCCTGGCACGAAACGCACGGGTCCCGAGGGAAACTAGGGGAACGAAAACATACAAATTCGGAGGTCCGCGCGGATTTCTCGGATCGGCGCTGGGGCACCCCGGCGGCGCCTCCGGCGCCGCCCCCGGCGCGCTCCGCGCGCCAGGGAGGGGGGGTCCAGCGCCGATCCGAGGAATCCGCGCGGGCCTCCGAGGTTTTGTGTTCATGCCACTTTTCGCCCCCCTACCTAAAGAAAGGTGCCCTTCTCGGGCCCTACAGGCCCCCTTCTCGGCCACAGAGGGCCCCCGCGCGGACCTCCGAGTTTTTTTTATGTTTAGGCCCCTTTTCGTTCCCCTAGAAACGGCTCCCAGACCCCGGGGCCTTCCCCCGGGGCCAGCTCTATACCCTGCTCTTTTTTGTTGTTTGTCGGTCCCGTGGCTCTCCTTCGTGGCGATACGCGTACGCTTAGGTCGGGCATGTCCTCCTGCAGGCGGACTTTTCCTTCCCCGAGAAGCGGCTCCCGGACCCCGGGGCCTTCGCCAGAGGACCAGCTCTGTACCCTGCTCTCTTTTTTGTTGTCTGACGGTCGCCCGTGGAGGGTCCAGGGGCCGCAGGATCTCCTTCGTGGCGATGCGCGTGCGCTTAGGTCGGGCATGCCCTCCTACAGATGGACTTTGGACGAACAATACAAGCGGTCAAACGCATTCAAACATGGCTAATACATAATCGAAACATCGTCCCCAGACTATTCGTTGAGTATTTTTGAACATCCTTCCTGCAGAGGGACATGCCCGACTTAAGCGCACGCCCGCGTTTCGCTCCTCAGCTACGTCCCGTTCGGCACCGCCTGATCCCCGGGCCCCGCCCGCTCCTGGCCGCGTGAGGCCCCGCCTGCTCTCGCCCCCTCTCTGTCAATTAAAGGCGCGCGCGTTCCGCGGAGCTTTTAGCGGAAGAGACTCGCTCTCGCCCTGCAGATAAAAAAAAGCGTCTCGCTCCTCGGCTGGGAGACCCCCGCCCCACACACACACAAACGCCCGCAGGCGTCCAGGCCTTGGGCGCGAATATTCATGGGGAGGCGGTGCACACGAGGGGGGCAGCGAGGGCTGCCGAACAGAGGCCCTCGAGGGCCCCTAAAGTTTAAAGGGGCCCCAGGACACACAAATAAATACACACAAATAAAACTATTCCCCATATTTTCCTATGTTTTCCGAGGAATCGAAGATGAATTGCGTCTGTGTGGTTTTTCCTCTCCTGTCTAAAGTTAAAGGGGCCCTCTGTGGCCGAGAAGGGGGCCTGTAGGGCCCGAGAGAGGCATCTTGCTCTAGAGGGCAGAACATGCCCCCCCGCAAGAATCACCCCGACACGCGAAGCCGTTCCGTGAGCGCACCCACAGAAGGAATCGAGCAGTGCAGGGCTGGACGCCCACGGCCGTGTGGGAAACGCCAAATAGAATCAGGTCCGGGCGGTTTCCTCCCTTGATTCTCCACCCCCCCAGTCCCAGAACTCCGACGTCATGTTTTTTCTCTACGTCGACCCCTGGAAGTCTCGACCCATTCCCCAGGACCGGTTTTTCATCCTGAGCCGTTTTTTGACTGTCCCGAATCGCAGGAAGGGACCCCTGGGGCCGAAAGTACTGCAAAACCTCCCGTCGTGATCTTTGTTCACGGCGCGAGGGGGTCTGGGGTCATCGCCCTCCCCTGAAGTCGCGCCCAAAGGCAGCTCGATCCTCGAACCTCCGGGGGACGCCCGCGACGACGGCGGCGCCGCCGCTGCCGCCGCGCCTCGCCGCCCGCTGCAGGTTCCGCGACGACGGGGTGCCCAGCTGCCGGGGCAGGAAGCCCTCGGCCAGCGCCTTCTCGGGCCGGGGAGGGGGAGGTGCCTCCTCCCTCCTCTTCGCCCTCCTCCTCCTCCTCCTCCTCGTCCTCCTCCTCCTTTTGCGTCTGCCTTCCTCCTCCTCCTCCTTCTCCTCCTCCTCCTCGTCCTCCTCCTCCTTTTGCGTCTGTCCTCCTCCTCCTCCTTCTCCTCCTCCTCCTCCTTTTCCTCCTCCTCCTCCTCCTCCTCCTCCTTTTGCGTCTGTCCTCCTCATCCTCCTCCTTCTCCTCCTCTTCCTCCTCTTCCTCCTCCTCCTCCTCCTCCTCCTCCTCCTCCTCCTCCTCCCATTCCTCCTCCCATTCCTCCTCCTCCTCCTCCTCCTACTCCTCCTCCTTCTCCTCCTCCTCCTCCTCCTCCTCACGGAGGGATACAAGGTGGGCGGAAAGGGAAGCAGGAGGATGGAGGGTGAAAGTGGAACAGGAAGGGCGGGATGGGGGGAGAACGAAGAGGGCGGGGCGGGAAAGCGGAGGAAGGATGGAGGCCGGAGGGAGCAGCGAGAAGGGGGGGCGGAGGGGGAGGGCCGTGCGGGCGAGCACTGGGCCGAGGCGGGACAGGACGGGAGGGTGAGAGGATGCGACAGGAGAGGAAAGAGGGGGGGAGGAACGATGTGCAACATCGGGGGGGGAAAAAAGGGAGCCGCCGGCGAGGGGAGGGAGGGAGGGGGCGGAGCAGCATGGACCTGATTGGGTGGGGAAGGAGATGGCGGAGGTGTGGGCGGCGGGGGAGCGGACAGGGGGATGAGAGGGCGGGAGGGGGAGGAGAGGAGGAGGCGAGATGAATGGGGGGAGGCCTGGGGGAGCGGGGTGCGAAGGGGGGGCGAGGGGGGAGCAGGGTGGAGGAGGCGGGAGAGACGGGGCCCGCTGGAAAGGGCTGCCCTGCTGTCAAAGAGTCAAGCAGACATCCGGTCAAAACGAATCCAGCGGTCTCACACCGTCTTCATCCTGACCCATTTGCCGAGCCGCGTCAAGCCGTGACGACGAGCATCTTCAGCACATGCTTGCCAACGTGGAGCCCAAGCAGTGGATCGTGGCACCTCCGATGTGCACTATTTGTGGCGCAGTGCGTGAATGCGTGAACGGTGCAACCGACGTGTTGCAACAGGTCTGGTGCAATTTGCGCGATGCCATAGTTTGTTGCGTTGTATGGGGTGTGTTTTGCATGTGGTGCCAGCTATGTGGTGCAAACAACGCGGTGAAAGCTGATGTGGTACGTTTTGCAAACTGCTACCGGTAGCCTGTCATCTATGTGGCGCACCCTACGTGGGGCAAGATCTGTGGTGCAGCGTGCGTGGTGCGATGTATGGGCATCGTGCAAGACATGCGGCGAAATCTGCGCTGTGCAACGTACTGGCTGCGACGCCTGGGCTGCAAGCTACATGTGGCGGCCACCCGTGCGGCACAGGCCGTGTGTGTGTGTGGTGGTGGGGGGGGGGGGCACTCCTCGCGTGCGCCCCGAAACGGCAGCCGGCGCACACGGGGTCGTGGCGCACAGGGTGGGCGCAGGCGGGCAGGCGGCATTCCGGGCGAGCCGGCCACCACACCCTTGCCGTCGCCCGGACCTCCATTTCCCGTGCATCTTGTCCGCCTCGTGCGTGCTCTTTTCCCTCGATGGTCCAGGAGATGGCCCTCGTGGCTTCTCGCCGAGAAGACATGCACACGTCCGAGCGATGCCAAGACACGGGGCGGCCGGGCACGCGGCGGGCGCCGGGCGGGGACCTGGACGAGGCAGCCAGCGCGCGGAGCGGGCACGAGGCACAGCACAAGGGCGAGCGCAGGGAGGACCGCAGCCAGCGCACGCTGCGGGCCCGTGGCGGGCGCGGGGCGGGCACCGGGCGAGAGGCCCCGAAGAGCAGCGTCCAAGGGCTCGAGAAGGAAGCAATAGAGCCCACCAGTGCAGGCACCGGCCTGGAGAAGAGCGCGTGGGCACCCTGCAGGTACGAGCGAAGAAGCACGCGGGAGGGGCCAGCTCCAGCAGCTGCGAGGCAGCGACGACGCTTCAGTCGGGTGGATATTGTTGGTAGTGAAAGTTGCGAGCGCGTGTCGATATCGGAAGAGCGCGCGCACGCACACGCACGCGCGCGCGCACGCCCTCCGCATGGTGTTCAATCTCAGGCTCGGTCTCGAGCTCGCGTTCGGGCTCGAGATTCGGGATCGGGCTCGCGCTCGGGCTCGCGCTCGCGCCCGGATACCTGCGCGCACGCACGCAAGCGCGCACTCGCGCACGAACGCGCGCGCGCACGCGCGCGCGCGAACGCGCACGAAGGTGCACGCACGCGCACGCGCGCACGCTCACGCACGAGCGCCCGCGCGCGCGCACGCGCGCGCACGCGCGCGCGTGCCCGCGCCCGCGCGCACGCGGGCTGCCCCCCTTGGGGGGCGAAGAGCGGCCCGGCATCCCTGCCACCCCCCCCCCGACCTTACCTCTACTCTTCGAGCCCTAAGCGGCGTGCGGCTCCGGCGCGCAATTTTTGCGAGGGAGAAGGGTTCCAGCAGATTACGCCGTCAAGAAGGATATGCGCTCCAGGACCAGATTCTCACGAGGGGCAGTGGTTCCAGAATCCAAGGCGTGGGTTCCAGCACCCATGATTGACAAGGGAAGCTCGTTCCAGCAGGTTGCGCCGTCAAGAAGCATGGGCTCCAGCACCTTGTTTTTGCGAGGGACAGTGGCTCCAGCAGCCGAAGGCGTGGGTGCCAGCACCCACTTCTGACGAGGGAAAGCCGCTCCAGCCTACTACGTCGACAAGACGGGTGGGCTATCGTCTGAAAAGACAACTACGGCGGTGCCCCGCGCCCCAGCCACGAACCCTCCTACAAACCGTCCAAAATTTCACCAGCCAAACATTCAGCGAACTGTAGGACCGGGAAAACTACCACGGATTTCGGGCAAAGCGTGCCCTACGAAAACCAAGGCTATGAAACACAGGTGTCCCGCGATGGCATCCATGCGGAGGACTGCAGGGTCTCACGCCAAGCGTGCGCAGGCGAGGCCCCTCTCCCCACGCCGGAGGATCCGAAGCTCGCGAACAAATTGAGACATATGCAGCTCTATGGTCGGAGGGCCCACAGACGTCGTGGCCGATAGTGCTTGGCGAACAACGAGGACGTTCGGGCAGCCGCTTGGAACCCGAGCCACCACACGGCAGCGATCATCGCTACGACGGTGGCAAGCGGCACGTTTATTTCGGCTGCGCGGCATCGGGCGCTACAGGTCGCCGATCCAAGGCATGAGAGCTCCGCCACAGGCATGCTATGTGGATAGCCCGCCAGCCCGCATTAGTCATCGGCGTACTCGAAGCCGCAAAGAAACTAGTAGGGGCCTCCCCCCCAAAGACTCCAGAAGTCCCCAAGAGCAACCCCGGAGACCCCCCGAGCCGAGAAGCACCCCAGGAGTCCCGAGTCTGCACGGTGTACGGCGGGACGGGCCGAAGGCCACTGGATAGGTGCAGTTCTCGGAGGTTCAGTTCACGGAGGTGCAATATCGAATCGCGAAGCCGGATCGAAACCGGAATTGCGTGGGATCTTTTGGAATCGGTGTTGAAATCGGCGATCGCCGCATCGCCTTGGAAATCGGAAACTGCACGCCGATTCGGAATCGAATCGGGGCATTTGTTTTGTAAGTCGGATCGGAACCGAATCTCGAGGTGCAGTTCTCGGAATCGGACCGGATAGGTGCAGTTCTCGGAGGTGCCCGAACGGTGCCATCTCGATGCATACCGCGTTAGTCAATTGCTTGCGCGGCAACATGAGGCCGCCCCTGTTTGCCTGATTCGTGGGAAAATGCTGACACGCGACCCTTTCAATGATGTAGCACAAGTTGTGTGCTGCGCAAGCAAGCCATCAAGCTTTGATGCTCTTCGTTGGACGCCTGCTTTTTCCTACGCTCGATGAGCTCGCTGCACTCCGAGGGTGCACGACGCGGGCAACCCTTTCAGACACAGCAGCGCACGATGGTGCCGCAACCGAGCAGGGAGCCGCGATGCAACGCCTGCCGAGCCCCAATGTTGGGAGCCCCCAGCCAGGTGGTGAGATATCGGGTGGTGACCTGGAATCCCCAAAAAGTCACCCCCGGGTTTGGGGACGCGGGCTCACCGCCGGGTCTCGTGACTCCTGGGCCCACCGGCGTTCGGGACATCCTCGGACAGGCGCAGGAGTCCCCAGACCGGGTGGTGACACCACATCGCCCGAGACTCACCGCCAGCCCTGACTCCTGATCCGCCCTACTTTGGGCGATTTCGAAAGTAGGGCGGAAATTTCCGCCCTACTTTTGAGGCCCCTTTGAGCGTCGATTTCCGCCCTTGAGGCTCCTTTGGCGTCGATTTCCGACACAATTTCAGGTCGGAAAATCATCCGAAGTACGGCGGATCAGGAGCCAGGGCACATCGCCCGAGACTCACCGCCAGGTGTTGTCACCACCACGTCTGGGGATTGCCAACAATGGCCACGACCGACCTCCCTCCGGGAGCCCGCGCTCTCTTCGCGCCCTCCCTCGGGCATGGGGGCCGCCCTCGCCCGACGCCCGCGCCCCCCACGCGCCTGGGCCCGCAGAGGGGGGGCGGGCGGGGCGGCCAGGCTGCGCCAAGGGGCAGCACCCCAAAAGGCTGCGGAAAGGCACCTCGGGGCGGCTCAGAGACGCAGCGGGAAGGCCCGCCGACGCCCTGCGACGCCAGAATTGGTGCCATGGTGCCATGGCCGTCCCTCCTTCACTCTGCCGCGCCCGACTGGGGCCCCCGAAGCTCGACGGCTCCAGGACCGCCCGAGCGAGCGCTGGACGGGGCGCAGAAATGAACAGAGTGCGGCCCGGAGCGCGCCCTGAAAACGCGGCATACGAGCGGCCCCAGAGGGTGCCCTCGAGAGCCCCGACGGCTGGCGGCTGGCACATCCGCAGCTTGTTAATCGACTGCCCCCAGCCAGTGCAGGCCACTCCCGCCCCCCCCCCACACACAGGGCCGCGCCAAGAGGCAGCAAAAGAGCCAGGGCCCCAAGATGGCCCCAGGGGGCCCAAACGGCCTCCAACATGGCCCAACGCTGTCTCCAAGATTGTCCCCTGAACTCCCCTCTATCGCTCTCTTCAACATCGTTGGCGCCACCGCGCCTCGCTAGACAGCTCTCATGGGCATCGTGTCTGGATGAGCTGGTGGGGATGCGCCCAGCGTCGAGACTGGCAGCTATCGCACGAAGGTGCGCATCTTCTCCGCTGTTCGCTCCACATGCCGCAGCGACAACGCATGCAATGTGCAACTGATGAAACCGCAAATAATCCGTCTCCCGCGAAAAAAACGGGGCCGATCAGGCAAGACGACCCACTACCACCCAAAGTCCCTGGGTGATCTTCCAGCGAGGGGTCGCTATAGTTCTGGTGCTGCAAACGGCGGCTGCTGACCGGCGGGACGCTCAAACGGAGGGAACATCGCGGGAAGCAGACGGGACGCTCAAACGGAGAAACAAGTGCCGAAGTGCGAAAATCAAAATGCTAGAGTACATACGTTGTTCTACCACAAATAATTGTTTACCCTTGTTCTGGTGATTGTGCAGTGTGCGCTGGTGAACCCTATGCAAATTTGATGTTCACATGCCCCATGCTAGGAACCATCGTGCTAACATGTATGCACTATAAACAACAATGATCTGCAATGAATAGTTCGGAGTTTTACACATGAAATAATACATGTCAGCGTTTCACCTGTATTTCGACATGTGTGTTACACATACATGTTTGCGTGTTAACTTAAAGCGCGCGGCTAAACAATACGTCAGTTTTCTTTTTTCCACAAACAATAGCAGCGATAAGCAATCGATAACTACGACTTGCCACAAACACCTAAACTACTTAACGGCTGTCTTTCTCGTGGTACTCTGCAAGGGAGCATCCTTTCTTGGGTGGGGGATCTGTTATGTGATGTGTATCCTAGCGATGCCTCCTGTGTTGAATACACATGGCTTGTAAATGATGTGCCCATGGCTTGCATGCACGTTATACGCACACTTGTAAGCACGTGCAAGCTGGGTAAACCGTGGCAGAGCGCGTGCTCGTCTTAGCCGGGGAGTCTAGTCTAGTCTAGCAGCGAGCGTGGCACGGCACAGGGGACACGTCTGGTACCAAGGGGATGCTTGTTTAAAAGCAGCTTGGGGAGGGCCTCGTCTAGCAGCGGCTGGCGCACGGCACACGGGACACGTCTGGTACCAAGGATGCTGTGGTGATCCGCTTGGGGAGGGGCCTCGTCCAGCAGAGGGTGGCGCACTGCAGCGGGGCACGTCTGGTGCCAAGGATGTGCTTTTTCAATCGGCGTGTGGAGGGGCCTCGTCGAGCAGCGGGTGCTGCATAGCAGAAGGGCACGTTGAGACCCCGGACGCTTCCTTGATCAACTTGGGGAGGGGCCGCGTCTGGCAGTGGGTGGTGGCTCCTTGGAACGGGTTTTGGGGGAGCTCCACGCCCCCTAACCTCACAGCCTCCCTCCTCCCCTTGGAGATTGTTTTTGTTGGGGGGGTCCCGGGAGACCCTCCCTAACCCCTTCAAAAACTACCCTTGGAGTTGGGTTTTTGGAACGTCCCAAAAAGAAAACGACCAAACGACCCTAACCCCCTTGAGGATAGTTTGTGGAGGGCTCCGGGGGAGAAGCTGCCATAACCCCTTCCGTGATGAAGTTTTTTGGGATGGAAATACCCCCTCCCCCTCAAGGGGGGTTCATGTTTTTTTGTTTCAAGGGGGGGGGGGGGGCTGCCACCCACTACTGCCCAGCACTCGCGGCCTGCGTCGCCAGGCCACTAACGTACAGGCGTGACTGCTCTTTGGGAGGGAGTCCAGAGCACCGCGCTTCCCAGGCAGGTGGGACCACCTCGCGGGGTGCGAAAAGCAGGAGACCACGCTTCCCAGGCAGGTGGGACCACCCTGGGCACTGGCCCAAGATGGGTGCGAAAATGACAAGAGAAATCAGAAACGCGGACTCCACCCCCATTTCTCGAGTAGGGGATCGACTACAGAATTGATCCACCCAAGAAGCTCACGTGTTCGTCGGCTCTGCCCGCCTGTGCGTAGAACCTTCGGATACCTGCGAAAATTCGGCATGCGTTCTCGCAGATCCGACGAGCAAATCAACTTTGGGGGCAAACCGATTATGCAGTCGGCCTCCCGCTCGCGTTTCCCCCGCCACCTTCCCTCAGTCGCCACAGCCCGGAGCTCTCCGCCCACCCAGTGGGAGGGGGGCGTGTAGGGAGCCCACAAAAAGGACGTACGCTCCCAGCCATGTACACGAACCACGACCCCCTGACCCGCGAGACGGGTCGCGTGCTACGAACCTTCGCGCAGTGCGAGCTCTCGAAACCGGCGTGGATTCGTGTACGTGCACGTCCTTCTCTCGCTCCTGAGCGTGCCTCCCCACGCGCGGCCAGGCGCGCGCGCGGGGGGGCGGGGGGGCCCGGCAGGTGCTCTTGCTGCTCCGCTGCTCCCCCCCTCCGCCCGCGCTCCGCAGTCCCGCAGGATCCGTGCTGGCCCGTGGAGCTTCTCATTGCTGGCCCTGCGCGGCGGGGTGCTGAGCCCGGCGCGTGAATCTCCGGGCCGAGGACGGGGGCTGCCGGAGGCAGCAGCACGAAGGAGCGGCAGCAGCCACAGGGCCGCCCCTGCCGCCGAAGCCCGCTTCTATAGGGAGCTCCCCCTTTTGGGGGGGGGGGGCGGGGGGCTCCCTCGGGGAGGGGGCGTCGGCTGCGTTGGCGACCCCCTCTCCCTCCCCTTTCCCGCCCTCCTCCCTCGTGCTGGCTGCTGCCCCTGGCTCCTCCTCCCCTCTCTCGCTTCTCCTCCCCTCCCTCCCTCTCTCTCTCCGTTCCTCCTGTTGTCTCGCTTGCTTGGCCTCAAGGGGCGCCCCCGTTTTGGCTGTTGCGTGTCCTGCGTGTACAGCTCCCGCCCCCCCCGCTGCTGCTGGGGAGAGGGGCGGGCTCGAGGGCTTCAGCCATCGACAAGGCAGTCCGCAGTCACCAATCACGCAGAGGAGGAGGAGGAAGAGGAGGATGAGGAGGAGGAGGAGGAGGAGGAGGAGGAGGAGGAGGAGGAGGAGGAGGATGATACCGCACTACCTGCAGGTCCATCGCGGAGTGCGCAAGACCGCAACAGCAGAATGAGGTAGGCCGAATTCGGCCCTTCTATGCTCGAATGCCGACACCGACCCACCAGGGAGGATTGCGGTCGAGGAAGACACGAGGAGGAGGAGGGGGAGGAGGAGGAGGAGGAGGAGGAGGAGGAGGAGGAGGAGGAGGAGGAGGAGGAGGAGGAGGAGGAGGGGGAGGGGAAGGGGGAGGAGGACAGAGGTGGGGGGGAAGGCAGCTGGGGAAGAGCAGCAGGGAAAGTCGGGGGGGGAGGGCCGGGAGGGCGGGTGCCGGCCCGCCTCCCTCTCCGCCTCCGCCTCCGCGCGCTGGAGGTCCTGCCGCGCCCGCGCGCGGCAGGCCGGCGACGGACGGCGCCAGCCCGCGCAGGCGCCGTGGCCCGTCGCCCGACCGACGTTCCCTGGCGGGCGTTTTCGCTACGGGCGTTTTCGCTCCATTTCTTCGCGACCGGCGTTGCCATTTCTTCGCGACGGGCGTTTTCGCTCCCTTTCGGGCCCCGGGGCCCTCACAGATCGCTCGGGCCTGAAAAAGGAGGCGGGGAGATCGGGCCCGGGGCCGCGGTCGTGATGTCTTGCGATGTTGCAGTTTGTTTGCCACGTCGGATCTCAGGGCTTCGTCCTGCTATTCCCCGTGCGTTTGTGCTCGGCTTCACGCGCTTAGTTTTCGCAAGATGATCCAGGATGCTCCTCGAGGATCTTCGCCGAGAGCATGATCGACCCACGAACCCGGAAAGGAATACAGAAATGTAAGGCATGGCAACGTTTCAAAGACACCTGATTGGGCGACGGGCACATGCAATGCTGAATGTATCGATCTTGATGTACCGTGCCGACGGCTGTGATGTGCTGGGCCGTGCAGAACTGCGATGTGCCATGCCGCGATTGTGCTCTATATAGCGTTGTGGATCGAGTCCTCTTTGCATCCGGGTCCTGACCGAACTGATCTGGATGCCCCTGAACTAATCGACAGGGGGGGGCATGCCAGGAGGACGCGCCGCGGAACGTGCCAACGGACGTGCCATGGGCACGCACCGCAGGACGTGCCAAGGGGACGCGATACGGAACGTGCCCATGGACGTGCACCGCGCGACGTGCCAGGAGGACTCGCCACAGGACGCTCCGCGGAACGTGCCAGGCAACATGCCAGGCTGCAATGCTGAGGGTATCGATATTGATGTACCGTGCCGAGGGCTGTGCTGTGCCTGGGCGACCTGGACACGTGGAAACACGCGTTTAGCTCACGACGTTCTCAGCACATCCGCATGCTAGACATCCGCCTGGGCGGCCTGGACACGTGAAAACAAGCCTCTGGTTCGAGACATCCTCAGCAAATTCTCATGCTAGACATCTGTCTGGGCAACCTGGAGGCGTCAAATCAAGCGTCTCGCTCGAGACATCCTTAAGACCTGGGCACGTGAAAACAAGCATTTCGCTTGAGAGATCCTTTGAATTCAGGTCCACAGGAGAGGACACTCTGTAACACAAAACGAGCGTTTCGCTCGAGACATCCTCAACATATTTTGAACACCAAGCGTTTCGCTAGGGACATCCTCAAATGTTAATTCGCCGGCCCACCTCGACCTCGATATTTATCGCAAAAGAAATTCGCCGGCCCACCTCAAGTCAAACACAGGGGTAAGCCCACTAAAAGAGAACCCTGGGCCTCAGCCCTTTCCGGGAAAACCGGTCCTGGGGAATGGGTCGAGACCTCGGGGGGCCCCGCATAGAAAAGATCACGACGTCGGATCTCTGGGACGGAGGAGCGGGATCCGCAGGCGGAAGCTCTCGGTGTCTGTTGCTTGGGGGGGGGCAGACAGAACGGAGAACAACCGCGAGGCTCTCATGGGGCCCTCGTGGAGTCTCTGGGGGCTCTGGTGGGCCAGAGGGCGCGAGACCGAGGATGAGCAACACGGTCAACCCGGTTGACGGGGATGTGCGGTGAGGATGCAAGGGCCTTGGAGGGCCAGGTTCACGCTTCTCGAACGAGGAAGGCCAGCGAAAGTCGCTGAGGATGGGCCGAAGGGGCAGGGATGCAAGGGTACCCTTTGGGAAGGCTGCCCATCCATACTATGCGGGCTCACTGCAGCATCAGCAGCATCAACAGCGGCCAGCCCCCATGAAGCGCGCCTGACAGCGGTCCTTGAGCACGAAGGGTGCACCCCGTCTGCCGCCGTTGCCGCCGCCACCACCGACCGTCGCCGCTGCCGCTGTCGCCGCCGCCGCCGCCGCCGCCGCCGCCGCCGCCGTCGCCGCCCGCGGTCGTCGCTGTCGCCGTCGCCGCCGCGTCCGTCGTCGCCCCAGGCCCACGGTCCTTGAGCCCGAACGGCCCCTCCTCCGCGGGCGGCGGGCTGGCAGAGGACGCGCGCGAGCCGCGCCGCCTCTCGCCAGGCCGCTCGGCAATTAGCGCCTCGCGGGCGCGGGAGGTGCCCACCCGACCGCTGCCGCCGCCACCGCCGCCACCGCCGCTGCCTTCGCCACCGCAGTCGTCGCCGCCACCACCACCGTCGCCGCCGCCTCCAGGAGACCATCGAGCGCCGACGCCGCCGCCATTGTCGCCGCCACCGCCGTCGCCGCCACCGCCGCCGCCGCTGCCGCCACCGTTGTGGCCGCTGCTTCTGCTGCAACCCTTGCCGCCGCCGCCGACCGCCGCTGGCCGCCTCTGCGCGCAGGGGGAAGGCGTGGGAGAGGGACGGCGGGGCGAAGAAGGAAGCAAGGAGGGCAAGGGAGGAGGCGGGAGGCACGTGGGGGGGGGGCTAGAAGAAATGAGGCCGGTTCATCTGGTGCTTAACTCATCCAGTCCGACTCATCTGGCCTAATTCATCCGATCATCCAATGCCCAACTCATCCGCGCCGAACTCATCCGGTCTGATTCGTCCGTTGCCTGACTCTTCCGGGCTAATTCATCCGGTGCCTAATTCATCCAGTCAAACTCATCTGGTGACTACCAGCGCATGCATCATTCATCTGGCCCCTGACTCACTCGGTACCAAACTAACCCAATGCTTAACTCATTCGGTGCTTAACCCCTCCTGCGACTATGACTCATCTTGTGACTAACTCATCCGGTGCTGAACTCATCCGGTGCTTCACTCATCCGGTGCATCACTCATACGGTGCTGAACTCATCCAGTGACCAGCTTATCCAGTGACTAACTCATCGGGTGCAGGAGTCCCCCAGAGCCTAATTCACCCCGCGCTCGCCGATCTCTCCCTCGGTTGCCTGACTCACCCAGCGAGTAGCCCACCCGGGGCCGGACAGACCCTGTGCCGATCTCACTCGGTGCCGAACTCGCCAGGCGCAGAACGCGTCCGCCATGTCCCCGCCGTCGTCGCACGTCATTCCCGCACCCTCCACGCTTCGTCCCCGAGGTCCGCTTCATCCTCGGCCAGTTGCTCCTTGACCTCCTCATCTTCTGCGTCGTCCTCCTCTTGGAAGTCACATAACCACTGCAAAAACCATAATTATCCTCGTCCTCGCCCTCGTTCTCGAAAACATGATCGACCCACGAACCCGCAAAGGAATATAGAAATGTAACGCATGGCAGCGTTTTCAAAGACACCTGATTGGGTGACCGGCAAATGCAATGCGGAGTGTATCGATCTTGATGCACCATGCCAAGGGCTGTGCTGCGCTGCGCCGTGCTGAATTGCGATATTCCATGCCGCGATTATGGTCTATAGCATTGTGGATCGAGTCTTCCTTTGCATCCGAGTCCTGACCGAACTGATCTGGATCTTAAGCTCGAGCTGCCTGAACACATAGTAGCTGCACCAGAGCTAATTGACAAGGGAATCTGCCAGGAGGACGCGCCGCGAAACGTCCCAAGGGACGCGCCAGGCGACGTGCCAGGGGACGTGCCATGGGGTCGCACCGCGGGACGTGCCAAGGGGACGCGCTACGGAACGTGCCACGGGATGTGCCAGGGGACGCGCCACGCGACGTGCCAGGGGGACTCGACAAGGGACGCCCCACGGAACGTGCCAAGTTGCAATGCTGAATGTATCGATCTTGATGTACCTTGCCGAAGTCTGTGCTGTGCTGCGCCGTGCTGAATTGCGATGTGCCATGCCACGATTATGCTCTATAGCGTCGTGGATCGAGTCCCCCTTTGCATCCGAGTCCTGACCGAACTGATCTGGATCTTAAGCTCGAGCTGCCTGAACACATAGTAGCTGCCCCAGAGCTAATTGACAAGGCGACATGCCAGGAGGACGCGCCGCGGAACGTCTCAAGGGACGCGCCAAGCGACGTGCCAGGGGACGTGCCATGGGGACGCACCGCGGGACGTGCCAAGGGGACGCGCTACGGAACGTGCTGGGGACAAGCGTTTCGCTCGAGACGTCCTGTCAAATTCCTGATGCTAGACATCCGCCTGAGCGACCTGGACACGTGAAAACAAGCGTTTAACTCAACACATCCTCAACACATTCTCATGCTGGACATCCGCCTGGGCGAACAGGACACGTGAAAACAAGTGGTTTGCTCGAGACATCCTCAACACATCTTCATGTGAGACGTCCGCCTGGGTGACCTGGGCACGTGAAAGCAAGCGTTTCGCTCGAGACGTTTTCAACACCTCCTCATTCTAGACATCCGCCTGGGCGACCTGTACACGTGAAAGCAAACGTCTCGCTCGAGACATCCTCAACACATCTTCATGTTAGACATCCGCCTGGGCGACCTGGACACGTGAAAACAAGCGTATCCCTCAAGACATTCTCAACACATCCTCATGCTAGGCATCCGCCTGGGCAACCTGGACACGTGCAAACAAGCATCTCGATCGAGACCTCGTCAACACATCCTCATGCTAGACATCCGCCTGGGCGACGAGGATGCGTGAAACCAAGCGTCTCGCTCGAGACATCCTCAACAAATCCTGGCGCTAGACCTCTGCCTGGGCAACCTGGAGGCGTAAAACCAAGCGTCTCGCTCGAGACATCCTCAAGACCTGGGCACGTGAAAACAAGCATTTCCCTTCAGAGGTCCTCTGAATTCTGGTCCCCAGGAGAGGACAATCGATGGCACAAAACAAGCGTTTCGCTCGAGACAACCTCAACAAATTCTGAACAACTAGCGCTTCGCTCGAGACATCCTCAACATTTGATTCTTCGGCCCACCTCCCTCGACCTCGATATTTATCGCAAAAGAAATTCGCCGGCCCACCTCAAGTCAAACTCGGGGGTAAACCCACTAAAAGAGAACCCTGGGCCTCAGCCCTTTCCGGGAAAAAACGCGTTTCGCTCAAGACGTTCTCAGCACATCCTCATGCTAGACATCCGCCTGGGCAACCTGGACACGTGCAAACAAGTGTCTCGATCGAGACTTCCTCGACACATCCTCATGCTAGAAATCCGCCTGGGCGACCTGGACACGTGAAAACAAGCCTCTGGTTCGAGACGTCCTCAGCATATCCTCATGCTAGACATCTGTCTGGGCAACCTGGAGGTGTGAAACCAAGCGTCTCGCTCGAGACATCCTTAAGACCTGGGCGCGTGAAAACAAACATTTCGCTTGAGAGATCCTCTGAATTCTGGTCCCCAGGAGAAGACAATCGATGGCACAAAACAAGCGTTTCGCTCGAGACAACCTCAACAAATTCTGAACAACAGCGTTTCGCTCGAGACATCCTCAATTTTTTATTCGCTGGCCCACCTCGACCTCGATATTTATCGCAAAAGGAATTCGCTGGCCCACCTCAAGTCAGACCCGGGGGTACCCTGGGACGGAGCCCTTTTCCTGGAAACAAGCGAGAAGCAAGCGAGGACCACCCGAGACTTCCCACGACAACCCGAAAGACGCCCAAGAGTGCCAATGACATGTCCAGGACAGCCCGCAAGTTGCTTGACTGCGAAACGACGTGTTGTAGTCAAGCAAATGTGCAAAAGCCTCGCCTAGCCAAATCCAACCGGAAGAGCAGGCCAGGGCAGCGCCAGACACCCCAAAACAAACCAAGAGGAGCCCTAGTACATGCCTGACAGCTCCAAGACGACCTTTGGCAATCTGCTTGGGTGCACCACGTTTCGTAGTCAAGCCAATGTTCTCAGGAACGTCCTGGCCCAATCAGATCCCATGCAAGCGACGACTAATCAGGGCCTCCCAAGAGAGGCCAAAGGAGCGCCCAAGACCAGAAGTGGGATGCCCCAAGACTGGCTGAAAGTGCGATTGACTACAAAGCATCTACCAGTCCAGCAATGTGCTCATCAGCCGTAGCTTCCAAGGCCTCGCCTCTCCCAGTGAAGCCTGAAGAGGGCAGGGGGCGACCCTGACCACGGACCCGCCGTACGTTGGCTGGTTCTCCAACTTGGAACTTTCCGACGTCAGAGGCGCCCGAGAAGTGGGGCGCAGATGCCCGCCCGAGATCGCCCACTGTACCGCGGATCGGGGGCCAGGGGAGGAGAGGACCGAGGATCTGCCTGCTCTTGAGGGGCAACGACAGGGGGGACTGGCACGGGGAGGGAACATCGACCTGGAATCGGCGTCACATCGCCGACAGATCGGCGAGATGCTCCCGATAGAGATGCAGCACGTTCCTGGGCGGGGTGGGCTATCGTAGAAAAGAAAAAGCAACGCCAGAAACATAAACTGTTGGCGCCCCCCAGTTTCTGTTCCTGGCGCTTCTTCTTCTCCTTCGACGCCGGGCCCCGAGAGGCCGTCGATGGGCGCTTGGGGGGTCGATGCGCCCTCCCCCCCCCCCCGCCTGAGCCTCACCCCCCCCCCCCTCCCGTCGTTGCCCCCCAACTGTCCACCGCCCGAGACTCGGGAGCGGCCAAGAGGGATGTGTCCAAGAGGGGGGGTGCAAATCATGACCGGCGGCATGTGCGCGGCCCAGCGGGGGGGCCAGGGAGGTAATGAAATAAGAGGAGGCGCCATGCAATCTGGAGAAATATCATGGCCCACGCCATGATATCCACCCCCCCCTAGTCATCACCCCCCTCTTTGCCGCCCCCGAGAGACCTCGTGACCTCCGCGCGCGCCCTGCCCCCCCGGGCGCGCCCCGGCGCCGCCGGGCTCCGCCGGGGGCCTCTCCGGGGAGGAGGCCGGCGGCCGCACGGCGCTCGGCGACGACCGAAAGGCGGCCGGGCGGCGCTCTCGGCGAGCCAGGCGGCGGCGGCGGCGGCGACGGCGACGAGCGACGAGCGACGACGGACGACGAAAACGCACGACAACGAGCGACAGCCGACGCGCAGCGACAGCGAAGGACGACGGCGACGACCAGCGGCGGCGGCGGCGACGAACGACGAGCGACCAGCGGCGGCGGCGGCGGCGACGACGAGCGACGAGCGACGAGCGACGACGACGACGACGACGACGACGACGACGACGACGACGACGACGACCGGCGGAGGCGGCGAGGGCGGCAGCGGGCTCGCGAGGACCGCGGCGGGCGGCGAAGCGGCGAAGCAGGCGGCGGCGGCGGCGCTCCGGCAGAGCTCCAGAGCTGGACGCTGGCAGGACGGGGTTTGGTGGCGCCTGGCCCAGGGATGGGCGCCAGGGGGCGCCCCCGCCCCCCGCCCCATTGCACTGACTAGAGCAGCCGCCATCCGAGGAGACGCCAACTACGGCAGACTTGGCCTGGTGATGCTGGCAGTGTTTGGGGCCTCGGGGCCCGATCACTGACCGGCTCTCCCCTTACCTGGGGCCCTGGCCATGTCCGAGACATGATCGGATCGGAGCGAACATCGGGTCTGGCTGCCTCGGCTCGGAATCGAAGTCGAATCGGCTCGGCTGCAACACAAAAACTCCATGCAAGCATCGGGCCGCATCGGATCGCGGGAACGTGGCAATCGAATGGGATCGAGCTGGCCGAACTCGATACCGAACCGGGTCGGGCAGCAGTCAACTCCTGGAAGGTCTTCGTGGGAACGAATGAGCACTACCAACAAAAGAGATGCAAGCCGATTTAAGCCGGATTCGAACCACTTTCGTCTGGATTTCGACCAAGGCCATGCCAGCGACGAGGCTTAATTTGACCTTCCCGAGTTGCACTCTCAGGAGGGAGGTGGAACAAAGATGAGGAGGGCTGGTCGGTCGGATGTCCTCAGAAGAGCTCGTCTTGCAAGCTACATCCAGGGTAAATGCGACACCAAATACAATTTCAAAGTCCAAAGTGCCCGCAGGGCATGGGCACGCACCGCAGGACGTGCCAAGAGGACGCACCGCAGGACGTGCCAAGGGGACGCGCTACGGAACGTGCCAGTGGACGTGCACCGCGCGACGTGCCAGGAGGACTCGCCACGGGACGCTCCGCGGAACGTGCCAAGCAACATGCCAAGCTACAATGCTAAAGGTATCGATATTGATGTACCGTGCCGAGGGCTATGCTGTCCCTGGGCGACCTGGACACGTGAAAACACGCGTTTCGCTCAAGACGTTCTCAGCACATCCTCATGCTAGACATCCGCCTGGGCAGCCTGGACACGTGCAAACAAGCGTCTCGATCGAGACTTCCTCGACACATCCTCATACTAGACATCCGCCTGGGCGACCTGGACACGTGAAAACAAGCCTCTGGCTCGAGACATCCTCAACAAATCCTCATGCTAGACATCTGTCTGGGCAACCTGGAGGCGGGAAACCAAGAGTCTCGCTCGAGACAATCTATAACACCAAACAAGCGTTTCGCTCGAGACATCCTTAACAAATTCTGAAAAACAAGCGTTTCGCTCGAGACATCCTCAAAAATAATTCCGCCGGCCCTCGTCGACCTCGTTATTCATCTGAAATAATCCCGCCGGCCCCCTTCAAGTCAAAACCGGGGGTAAACCAACTAAAAGAGAACCCTGGGCCTCAGCCCTTTCCGGGAAAACAGAAACCAGCTTCACATGCACTCTGGGCGTCAACGTAGGGTCACACAGGGGGAAAATGCACCGGGGTGACACGCGTCGACCCGAAACCCGTGCGTGAGAAACGAGCCGTTTCACTTGTAAGCTGGGCGTCGGCATGCGGTCCTACGACGTGAACAAACACGGTGGCGAAACGTGTCACGCCGAAAACTGACGGAGAACAGCCAACTGTTTGGATTGTATTCTAGACGGCGACATCGGGCTATACAGTGTGAGCAAGCAGAGGGGTGAGGAAAATCATTCGTTCCATGTGTAGTCCAGGCGCCAACATGGGGTCATATAGTGTGAACATGCACGGGGGTGACGCGCGTCACCTCGAATATTGCATGAGAGCAACAAGAAAAGCAGACAAGTTTCACTTGTATTCTGGGCGCCCGTGGGAAAACAAGCACAGAAGTGGCACGTGTCACCTCGAATACTGCGTGAGAAAACTAACTGATACAATTGCAGCCTGGGCGTCGACATAGGGTAGTACAGTGTGAACAAGCGCATGGGGTGACACGTGTCACCCCGAAAACCGCGAATTGTGTCAGTTGCTTTCTGAGCGCCAACCTGGGGCTGTACATAATAAAAAGGTACAGGTATGACACGTGACACCCCGAAAACTGTCAGAGAAAAACCAAATCGCTCACTTATACTGTGGACACCAACATGGAGGCATACAGCGTGAACCAGCAGAGGGGCGATATCACTCCCGGCACATACTTTTGGAACAGATTTCGCAGGAAAAACAGAACGACAATATAAGCCAATCTTCAAGGGCAACCACCCCTTGAAAATAATAACGACATCTCGGCTAAACCGGTAACCGTCCGCCTACGAAATTCTGACAACGGCCGAAACTCGATAGACTTACCGCGCGGTATATTTGAATAGACAATTCAAAACGATGAACAAGCCGAAAAAACCAAACCGACTAGACGTAAACGAAAAAACGTTTTTTGTTGAAACACAGAAACGTGATATGTCAACATAATCAAACTGTGATATGTCAACAAAGAATTCGCGTTTGTATCCACTCTGTTTTAGTTTCAGCGCGCGCGTGTATGGTTCAAAACTCGCTCCTTTCTGACGTTCTTCTGCGTGTTCTATTGGTGATCGCGCGACTAGGAATTAGAATGTATGACTTCACTCAATGCGACTCTGGCTCGGATCTCAAAACTTACACTGGTTTGCGCGGTTTCGCTCGTCACAGAGGCCAAAGAAACTCGAAACATACTCCGCAACTGCGAAACTCAAATCAAGCAATTCGCACAAAACTCCCGAAGACACCGCGGGCCGTAAGAGAGGCCAGGGAGGGGAGGTCCACCTGCCCGTTCAGGGGGCCACGACCCACAACAGAGGCCCGTCCTGACCGGTCCGACGGTGCGTGCACCGTCGTCGTGCAACCGCCGCGCAAAATTTGACAACGCTAGGCTGCCCTGAAGGGTTGAACGGTGCCCGCCAACAAAATTTGACAACGAAATCTTGGATCCGACGGTCACCCTGGTCCCGCAGCGACTGCCAAGACTGATGGGGTGACACGTGCTGCTCCGAGAATTGAATGACAACAATAATGTGTTTCACTTGTGTGCTGAGCGCCAGCATGGACATACATAGCGTGACATGACGTAGGGGTGACACGGGACACCCCGAAAACTGTATGATAAAAACAACATAATTCACTTATATGCTGAGCGTCAACATGGAGGCCTACAGCATGAGCAAGCAGAGGGCTGACACACGTCGCCCCGAAAACCTGAATGAGAAACATTGTATGTTTCACTTGCATTCTAAGCGCCAACATGGACATGCACAGCGTGGCATGGCACAGAAGGGTCACGCGTCGCCTCGAAAACGGCGTGAAACAAAAACAATCGTTTCGCTTGAAGTCTGGACGTCAACATGTGGTCGTACAATGTGGAATGCACAGGGGTGGCACGTGTCACCCCGAAAGCTGCGTAAGCATAACCAATTGTTTCACTTGTATTCCTGGCGCCAATATGGGACTAGACATAATGAAGAAGAACAGGGGTGACACGTGTCACCTCGAACCTCGTGCGAGAAAATAACGCACTGTTCCCCTTGCACAATGGGCATCAGCGCAGGAGTCATACAGCATGAACAAGCACATGGGTTGCCACGTCTCACCCCGAGCACTCAACGAGAAGAACACGCGTTTCAGTTGCATTATGGGCGCCAACATGGAGTTTCGGCGGTGGACAAGCCTCCCTTTAGTAAACCACCCTTTAGTGAAAACGGCCTAGGACCGAAACCGACGGACCTGGACACACAAAAATGACGGCCGCGACGCCCTCTCGCGAACCGAGAGCGGCCAATTCGCTAATCGACGTGACAGGGTAGGAGGTCTATCAACCTCCGAGAGTTACGCTATATGAAGATGCAGAGGGGCGACGCACGTCACCTCGAACACTGCGTGAGAAAACCAAGCGTTCTGAGAAGGGCTGGAGACTGCCCCAACAGGGGCTCAAGAGTGCCTCAAGATAAGACCAAGAGATCCCAAGATCTTATTCTCTTTCCTCCTCTTCCTCCTCCTCCTCCTCCTCCCCCTCCTCCTCCTCCTCCTCCTCATTTTCCTCCTCGTCCCCTTCCTCTCATGAAGGTTCCAGGAGGCCTTCGTCAGGGTCCTCAGACAACTCGCGTGGGCGTCGTTTCTGAAGCCGATAATCCCACCAGGCCTCAGGCGTAGGTGGTTAAGACCCTGCTCGTCCAATTTCGTTCTGCCCATTCGGCCCCTTGGTCTGGACGGGAGGGGCGGGGGTATGAGCTGGTCCTGCTGGCACTGGTTTCGCCAGCGCTGGTTTCGCCCCGCTGGTTTCGCCGACGGCTGGTTTCGGCGGCGCTGGTTGTGCAAGCGCTGGTTTCACCCCGCTGGTTCCGCCCCACTGGTTTCGCCGGCGGCTGGTTTCAACGGCGCTGGTTTCGCCGGCGCTGGTTTCGCCGACGCGAGCCCTAACGGGCGGGTCGGGTCGGGCGGGCGGACCCTAGCGGGCGAGTCGGGTCGGGTCGGGCGGGCGGACCCTGACGGGCGGGTCGGGTCGGGCGGGCGGGACATTAAAGAGTGAGGCGCGCTCGACCGAGCACGCGCGAATCCTTACGGGCGGGTCGGGCGGGCGGACCCTGAAGGCGGGTCGGGTCGGGTCGGGCGGGTGGGACAATTCAAGTGTGGGGCGCGTTCGACCGAGCACACGTGAGCCCTAACGGGCGGGTCGGGTCAATCGGACCCTAACGGGCGGGTCGGGTCGGGTCGGGCGGGCGGACCCTGACGAGCGGGTCGGGTCGGGCGGGCGGGACATTAAAGGGTGGGCGCGCTCGACCGAGCACGCGGGAACCCTAACGGGCGGGTCGGGTAAGGTCGGGCGGGCGGACCCCAGCGGGCGGGTCCGGTCGGGCAGTTTCGCCGACGGCAGCTGGTTTCGCCGATGGCAGCTGGTTTCGCCGACGGCAGCTGGCTTCGCCGACAGAGCTGGTTTCGCCGGGCGGCGAAACCAGCCGGACGAAATCAGCCGGGCGAAACAAGCCGTCGACGAAACCGGCGGTGGTGGTCGGGGCGGGGAGGTGCCACGAGGCCCCCCTTGGCCCAGGATAGCTCCAAGATGGCCTCTGAGAGCCCAATGTTGACCTCCTCCTCCTCCTCCTCCTCCTCCTCCTCCTCCTCATCCTCCTCCTCCGCCGCTCCATTTCCTCCCCTTCCTTTGGACACCGCGCCAACTCTGCTACCCCTCCCTCTCAGAACCAGCCAACGCTTTGCACAGACCGGAGCACGGCATAATCTTAGCGAAAGACCCAAGAAGCGGCAAAACCTGAAAGTCAGAGTGCGCTGGATGAAATATGACAGATAGCAAAACTCATGTGCAGACAGGCTGGCGCGACAGCGCCTGGGGCTGGGGCAGACGAATAAACAAAGAAGCATAACAATGAGGAAGACGCACAGGTGCGACGGCGACCAGGGGTGGTGCACATAGATAGGTGGATAGACGCAGCCACCGAAGCAAAGCCGAATGTGCGACGGCGAATGCCTTGCAAGCATTGGCCGCAACAGGGGTTCTTCACAGGTGGGATTCCCTCACCCTTCTCCTCCCCCTCCCCCTCCTCCTCCTCCTCCTCCTCCTCATCCTCATCATCATCATCATCATCATCATCATCATCATCATCATCATCATCATGCTGCTGCTCGTGACCACACAGAATCAAGCGGCGGCGTCTGGAATCATCGGCTGGCCGCGGACTCTGCACGATGTTGTTCAGGCTGTGGATGGCACACCTGCCGCCAGGGACGAGCACCCCCTCCCAGAGGCTCCGAAGAAAGCTCGTGGCTCATGCCGTGACGACCCGGGCGTTCGTTTCTGACGCCGCGGGGATCGCTCAGCCTTGAGCGATCACGGCTGCCCGAAAAGATCTGAGGGGCAACGATAGGGGGGGAGGGACTGGCACAAGGGGGAACACATCGACCTGGAACCGGCGATGCGTCGCCTCGAGATCGGCGATGGGCCCCCCACGGCGAGTCCGCACGCTCCTGGGCGGGGTGGAGCTGTCAGACCCCTGTCGGCGGTCCACGGGCGATTCGGGGGCCGGTGCGCTCCCCCCCTGAGTCGATCCCCCCTGTCGACGGCCGCGACGCCCTCTCGCGAACCGAACACGGCCAATTCGTGAATCGACGCGTCAGGGTAGGAGGCCTATCAGCCTCCGAGTAACCCACGCCCCCGCCGTAAAGGGGGAGTTAGCAGCGCATCGGCCCACGCAGCTGACTCCTCTGGCACCTCTCCCGGCGCCGGAGGCGCCAGTGCGTCGAGGTGAGCGCCCGGCGGGGGGAGCGAAACTGGCCGCACGCAGCAGATGCCGTACACCGCACTGGCCCCAGTCCCGCCCCCTTCGGCATCGAGTCGATGGCAGGAGCCCAACAGGTATATGCAGGTCAGCCTCCGTCCTCATCCCCTGCACCTCCCCCTCTTATGGCTCCTCTGCCCGCTGGGAGGGGGGAAGGGTGGGAATGAGGTGGAAGTGCACAGCTGTCCTGCTCCGAGACAGCCCTGACCCTGGATCCGCCGCGCTTTGGTCCATCTTCCAACCTCAAAAAAAGTGTCGGAGATGCACCCCGAACGATGCGAAAAGAAGCGGGGCCGAGAGCTCCGCCTCGGAACGATCGGGCGGAGCCCTCCGCAGAGGCGTGGCGGAAGCAGCGACGGCACCGTACAGGGCGGGAATCGAGATCGGGGGAGCCTGAAGAGCAGGTATGAAGGGGCCCTGGGACACACAAATAAATACACACAAATAAAAGGATTCCCCATATTTTCCTATATTTTCTGGGTTTCTGTCTTCCCGCCCAACTCCCATATTTTCCCATATTTTCTGGGGAATCGACGATTAATTGTGTCTGTGTGTTTTTTCCCCTCCTGAAGGTAGGGGGCAGAAATCGTGGGGGGTAGGGGTAGGGTTCGCATGCGGCCCCCTAGCAGGGCGGAGCTTTCCGCCCCACGCGCGACATCGCCCAGCGCACCGCGGATCGCCGGTCGGGGCCCGCCCCCTCCGCACCCCGAGGGGCCTGGGCGGGCAGAGGCGGGAGATCGGGAGGTCGGACGCGGCACTGCGGCAGCCCGTGAGCCCCTCCTCCTCCTCCTCCTCCTCCTCCTCCTCCTCCTCCTCCTCCTCCTCCTCCTCCTCCTCCTCTCCATCCTCCTCCTTCACTCATTCACTCCTTCCCCCCTCCTCCTCCTCCTCCTCCTCCTCCTCCTCCTCCTCCTCCTCATCCTACTCCTCCTCATTCACTCCGCCTGCTCCTCATATTCCTTCTCATCCCCCTTCCTTTTCTCACTCCTCCTCCTCCTCCTCCTCCTCCTCATCCGCCTCCTCCTCCTCCATGCGCTCCTCCTTCGTTCGCTCCTCCTCCTCCTCCTCCTCCTCCTCCTCCTCCTCCGCGGTGCGCGCGGCGCACGTGTCAGAGCCGTCCGGCTGCGGCTCGAAAGTTGCCCCCAACTCCGCCAGCAGCGACGGCGAGAGCTCCAGGCCGGGACGCTGGTACGCGGCGTCCTCCTCCTGTGCTGGGGAGGGGGGACGACGACGACGACGACGACGACGACGACGACGACGAAGACGACGACGAAGACGACGGCGACGGCGACGGCGACGACGACGTCGACGACGACGACGACAAGCGACAAGCGACGACGACGACGATGGAGGAGGGGGGGAGCGAGGGAGAAGGTGGAGAGAGCGGTGGCGAGAGATAAGGGTGTCGGCGGGAAGAGAGGGAGGGAGGCGGCGGGGGATGAGGGACGAGGAAGGTGAGGAGGAGGAGGAGGGACGAGGAAGAGGAGGAGGACGAGGAGGAGGATTTCCAAGGCATAACTCATCATTTTTGAGACTGCATGATGTGTTGCAATGTTGGAGATCATCATTACCGCGTGAAGGCCTGACATGAAGCATAGATTGAGGACACGGCGTGTCCTCTCCTGCGGCACGCTGCTACTTCGCGCACATACGGCTCTTGATTGTGTCTTGGATCAGCTAGCTCAGTATCGCGCGACTCGTGGCTGGCAGTGATGCTTGGAGACCTTCGCTGGATGGCTGCGATTGACGCACCTGGTGCTGCCATGAGTTCGGAGACCATGTCTCGACATATTAGATTTGCGGGCTCCAGCCCCAAGCAATACCTCTACCTAGTCAAAACGGCGTGGCAAGGTTGGCTACTTATCGAGCTCGACCAGATTACCACCTTACTTTGGCAACAACACATTCGACAATACGCAATACCACGAGATGCTGTGCTGTCCCAACCTATGAAATATATCTGCTACGAGTCCGGACAACTGTTCAAACACCGCAGCTTGGAACCGACATCTGTTGCAACACGACCCGTACGATGATGCACAAATTCTTGCGCTTGGTACTCAGTGTTGGGCATGTGGAACAACTTCCGGATCGCGATCACTAGTGATGCAACACGTAAGGAGCGCAGGAGACAACAGCATCAACTGGCCGAACCTCAACTGCTCTCCCCTCGATACCGAAGCCTGCGCTGTATCACGTGAGCAAGACCTGGCAGCAACACGACGTCAAGCCCGTCAAGGTTATCATTGTCATAAGGTGTTCAAGCATGATGTCCGAAGTCGTCTAGGTGGCTGGGGTCACGCATCCCAGCCTGTTCGTCTTCCCGAGGTCTCTATCAAAGGGGTGCTGACATCCCGCCCGTTAGTCAGCTACGCTGGTGACCCTCAGCCTCATCCAGTATACCGAGCAGTCCTGCCCAGAGGAAGCGACGCTCCTGGAGATATGTCTACTTGGTGTTCTCTCCTGCGTCGCAATCAAGTCGTCACTGAGATGATGCTCTCTTGTCCCAAGGTCGCATGCAGTGACGAGTCAGAACGCACACCTGAAGCTATCTCAAGCTTACCCGAGCACAGATCGACCCCTCAATCGAGGACAGGACTAAAGGAAACATCGTGGCTGTTCTGTTGGAATATGATACGACGTCGTGGTAAGGAGCCGTCTCTGAGTTTTCGCTGGGTGCCCCCGATCTTCGGACTGACGGTTATCCATGAGGGAGAAACCCTTTGAACGGCCCCACGCTTCGAAGGGTCCTTAATGGAAGTGATGAATTGCACGGTTCGTGGCAGGTATTATTTGCAGCTCGTTGCCTTGACCTGTCATGCTGTATGGTGATGCCTTGAAGACAAATCACACAACTACGCCGTCTTGTACCGAAGGTCCGAGATGCTCTCGCTCACGGCCATGTTCATCTACGTCGGGTTAACAGATGCCAGCTGGGCGGCGCATGGCGGCACCTCAGTCCAGAGGACAGCGCTTTTTCTGGTACGCACTTCTGAGGAGCGGCTCGAGCAGCTGATCAATCACGACTACTGTGATCATGCTGGCCATGCGGCTGTAGGTAGGCAGCCGAGGGGCGGTTGGCCAGTCGGCCTCTCGCGCGTGCGATGTTGGAGAGCTGCCTCATTGCACGGCAACTGGTGGCTGAGGAGCCGCCCCTGTAAGGGTGAGAATTGCGGGGGGGTAGAGGAGGCAGTTGTAGTATTGATCACCATCACCCTTTCCCCCTCCGTCGCCTCACTCATCTACCGCATCAGATTGGCCTTCAGATGGAATTCTGCTTGCTGCCTTTGGCCCGTGTCCAAGGGAACTCGCCTATGCGGAGCGCCTGTGTCTGTGCTGATTCGCGCGATGTTTACTGCATGCTGTGCCCCGACGAAATGGCCCCTGGGGGGCGAAACCAGCAGTGAGCGCCGCTCCACGGTCCCGATATACGAGGCCTTCCGGACTCCGCTCATTGTTTGCCATCATCGTGGGTTTTCTTGCTGTTGGTCGTGCTTCATTCCTACTTGGCTGGGCACCTTACCGCGATAGGCAATCTTCCCCTCACAGACCAACATAACAATTGTTGTCTTGTTCAATCCCAACGTTGGTTCACGTCTTCGACCCCCAATCCCACAGGAAGTTTGGGGTCCGTGGCGCCCGTTCCTCAGGATGATTTTCCTTCGTAGCAAAGAATGAGGACAAGGAGGTGGACGGGGGGGGAAGGAGGAGCAGGGAGGAGAAGTGCACGGAAGCTAGGCGGTACTCAATGGCTTCAGCGGATCACAAGTGGAATCACGAGAGGGGTTAGCGAGCCTACCCCGAAGCAGGAGAAAGAACAATGGACATGGAGAATGACCCGAATGACCAGAGCACAAGCCGTTGACGCCGCCATGTGCCCTCCCGTCACAGCTGCCCTCACAAAGAATGCAGACAGTTTGTTCGACCTGGCGCCACGACCGCATGAAGACGCGGTTGAAGTCGTCACCACATTGATAGACACCGGGTGGCGTGAATGATAGAGGCGACGGGGAGCCCACGTGAGACCTGCACACTGGCTTGACCACAGACGGGAAATCCTCAGACCTCGTCCGCGGGAGCAGCCTGCACGTCGTCACTCGCGGATGTTGGAGCCGCGCCGTTGCTCTCCAATGTGTGTGCAACGACGTGCGCTGGCAGATCAGGGGAACTCTGAGCCACAGCGCGGGAGAACCCACAAACGATCTCCCGCGCGATAGAGCTCGAGTACCTCACGAGCCGACAGCCGTGGACAGACCCCCCCGGACAGACGAACGACGAACGTCTGAAAGTATGCAGACCACTCTTCTTTAACGACAGACAAACAACTGCCTCAACCCACTTCCCTGTCTCTGAAACTATGGACGAACAAAAACCGCAGACCATTACCGCACTCGTCCTTGCGAACTGCACTCGCAAGCAATCGTAGCACCGGAGTCCGTTGCACTCTAGAACTAAGTCTTCTAATTCTGCCTGCGCTACGATACTCGTCATACACTCGAATTGTACTTGCATTTTTGTGCAAGTTGTTCTCTAGTACTGGTTGTGCACAAGTGTTAATTGTGCTCCAGCGCTGGCTACAGCTTGATACTAGGTGAACATTCGTACTAGTCAGCACGAAGTACTCGATGCACTATAGAAATAGCTGCACTGGAGTGTCAATGAAAAGTTCGTGCTCGCTGTAACATGGTAACAACTAAACTATAGTACTAACCGTTTTCTAACACTTGCTGTACTCTAGTTTCTTCTCGTTGATCCTAGCACTAGTTGTAATGGAATGCCCGAAGCGTTCTAATACGAAATATTGTGGGATACTGGCTGATTTCTAGCATACGCTGGAACACACTACTAGTTGTAAGCTAAACTGGTTGTGATACTAGGACTAGCTGTACTCACTAGTCACTGGTAGCATGTTGACTCTGAGTACTAAATGTACTCGAATACCTACTTGCACCCTAGTTCTAGCTGAACGTGAGTACCCGTCGCACTCTTGTGCTAGCCGTACTCTAGAATTGCCCGCCGTACTCTAATAATAACCGTACTCTAGCCTTACTGCAGGCTATGGGGGTCTTACTCAAATTGTACTGACGCCTTATTGGGATCCCACAGTGGTGGTATTGTAATCGGATTGGGCTATCGTTGATGTGTGATTGATTTAATGCGGGCTCGGCTGAACCCCATTGCAATCCGCATGGGGCTCTCTCGGGCTCCTGATAGCTTCCTGTTGGAATCCAGGGGGTGGCGTCTTATCGCGCTTGGACTGATGCTATATATTGAGCTAGCAGTGAGATCAGATGCGAAACCATTGAGGATCTCACGCATCCTGCTGGGGTCTTCTTGGGGCCGTAAGAGATCTAGTGGACTCTTACTGAGGCCCAGTGGGCATTCCATTGGTGAGCGACTGGCTTGGCTTCCACGGCAATTCATATAAAATGCTACTGGGGCCCTGACAAGAGGATCCGATTTGACTATCACTGAAATCCGATTGTGGCCCGATTGAGATACCATTGGGATCTTTTTGAGACGCGATTGGGATATGTGGGGCTCCTCCGGAAAGATCGTATTGGTATCCGACTGGGATACCATTGGGACCCCTTTGAATTCCGAATGCAGTCTTATTGGAATCCGATTGGGCCGAGGGGCGACAGATAACGTAACGAACGCGCCCGCACGGGTGGGCTTCGGGTAAAGACGGGCGGCACGCCCCGAAGTCGAGTGGTGGCCGCGACGAACGACGGGATGAACCCGGATGATTCACCCAGAGCCGCCGTGTAAACGAAGGGCGAACCTTGCGTCATTTATTCACCTGCAGCCGGTTAGCCCCTGACCGGCAGCCGCTTTGTTTCACAGGGGCACCGTCTTTTTTGATTCGCGGGTCGAGAGCGCACCTCTTCCGGTCGAAGCTAAGCGGGCCGCGCAGAGCTTGAATTACGCAGAGAAGGGGGAGGACTTCACAGGGGCACAGTCCCCGAACCACTACACACATGCTTCCCTCTGGCGCATGGCACAGGCGTGCTGCCGCTCCGCGAATCGGCCCGCTGCTGGCACGTGGCCAGCTGCTCGGTGCGGGGCCCTCGGGGCACCACTCGCCCAAGACTGTGAAGTCAGCACCGCTCGCCCAGCAAGCAGGTCGAGCCTCTGTGAGCTGCTGCACGGAGTCGCGCTGGCGCAGCGTCATGCTGCAGGCAATTCGCCACCGTGCTGTCCGA